TCTCCGTATTTGTCAGGGGCTGCGTCAAACTCAGGCCTCAGCTCAAGGCAATCCTCCCCTGCCCCAATCTCCCAGAACCAGCTAGATCACAGGCTTGGAAGCCATCAACCCGCCTTACAACATGAGTTTGAACTGCACCAGTCCAATTATAGTGGGATTTCCTCCACCTCTGCCACCTGACACAGCAGGACCATACTCCTCCTCAGCACCTCAATGTGAAGATGGAGATGAGACCTTTATGATGATCTGCTTCCACTTAATGTAGTAAACACTTTCGTCTTTATGATAATAAATATTTTCTCTTTAACAATTGTTTTTGAGGCGGGTGCATCGCTCACGCCTATAATCCTAGCTCTCTGAGAGGCTGAGGCGGTGTTGCTCAGGGTCAGGAGTTCAAAACCAGCCTGAGCAAGAGCAAGACCTCGTCTCTACCGTAGTAGAAAGCAATTAATTGGCCAACTAATATATATAGAAAATTAGCCCGGGCATGGTGGCACATGCCTGTAATCCCAGCTACTCGGGAGGCTGAGCAGTAGGATCGCTTAAACCCAGGAGTTTGAGGTTGCTGTGAACTAGGCTGACGCCACGGCACTCACTTCTAGCCTGGGACGACAAGTGAGACTCTGTCTCAAAAAAAAAAAATTGTTTTGAGATTTAGTAACATTTTTCTCTAGTTACTTTATCGTAAGAATATAGCATAATAATACATATAGCATATATATTATTATTTATGTTATCTGTAAGCTTCCAGCCAACAGCAGGCTATTAATAGAACAAGCTTTCGGGGTCAAAAGTTATGCATGGAGTTTGACTTCTCAAGTGGTCAGCATGCCTAACCCCCGCAATGTTCAAGGATCCACTATATTTTTAGTTAAAAATCAATGGTTATGTATCTTTACATTCTAAATCTCCAGTGGTGGATTCATTGTATCTCAACACATAATTTTTGTATGTATCAGATGTTACTTTTAAAAAGTAAAATAACAAAAGAATTATATATAAATTGGTCCTTACATTTAAAAAGAAAATAAATACAAGAACCAAGCATTACATGCCAGCAGTATATATTTATTATTATTCATGAATGGTCAAAAGACTACAAGGCCATAATTATGAGTATACCACATATATAGAATATCACATAGCGACACAGTGAAAAAGGACAGTTATATATTTAAAAATACACGTACACACACACCCTCTCTCAAGTGCTCACCATACACTGCTACAAAATCAGGAGGCATCAAGCTATAGAAGTTCTAATATACATCAAGCTATAGAAGTTCTAATATACTCATAACATGTTGAAATATTCAAGCATAAAAACCGTATGTTAAGTTGCAAAATAAATTTCTCTCTTCAAACATTTGATCTGAGCTCAAGCAAAGCAAATAATGAACAGTGATTTCGTATTATTTCACATACTTTAAAACAATAACATAAAAAGGTCAATAGTTTCAAAAACCCTGAAATATGGAGTTATGGAATGAAACAATGCATCTCATCCAAAAAAAAAAGTCTACAGCAGATTGTGTTTATCCTGGCTTTCAAATAGTTAGAATCATAATTTACTATACTCAAAATGCAAGTTTAGCCAGAACAAACAAATGATAAACAGAAAAACCATTACCGCAAACAAGGCATCATTGCCCTTTTCATTTCTTTAGACAGTTTCACTAGGCAAAGAGTATCATTTACCTGAAAGATCATAAATCACAATTAAAGAGTACTCATACAAAACTATTTCCTTTTTTCTTTAAAAAGTGCCACATACTATACTTTTCATTAAAAAAAAAAAACCCCACACACAACAAATAAAATAATGAAAGACCGTTTGTCTCCATCTCTTGTCAATGAGGAAAAGGCCAAAGTGTTCTTTGATTCCAATTCGGAATGGTGTTCGCTGGCCGATGCCCAAGGTCTCATTTGAGCAGTCAAGCTGAGCATTTCTTGGACGCTGTGCTCCTAGGACAGGGCTGTCAGTAATCTTTAAGAAAAATAAACACAGAAATCAAAGTAAATTAATGAAGGGCCACATCTTGAGACTTTATATATTCTTCCCTATTTCATTTTACCCTTAGAGCAAGAAATCTGATTTATCATCCCTGAAAAATTAAATGCCTGCCACAATCAAGATGATACTTTCCTACCAATTTCATCAACACTCATTGTCTTCTTTACAGATGACAATTTAGAGAAAAGTAGCACTAAACTGTCAACATACAAGCAAAGTTCACTTTGATTATACTGAGGAAATGAGGTTATCCAACACTCCAAAACAACAGGAAAAATGTTATCAATAATACATACTATAATGATGGATTTCGACTTCTGAAAAAGTAAGGTTTTAAAAACAGCATGTACTTACAGGTCTTAAGTGACTGCTGGGGAGATTGAAGGCATCTGCAATTGCACATGCCATTTCATACTTAGTCATCTGTTTCATTGCCAGACCAGTGAAAGGTCCCCTTAATTGATGGATCCTAAAAACAATGACACAGTAAGTTCAAAATAGTTTCAACTTTGAGGTTGACTAGAATAATGGATTTGACAAGAAAGCTTATTTAAAAGTCTAGAACTAAAACGAAACCCTAATACTGGAATGCTCTCCTCCATGAGATACCTAAAATCATATTCATACAAATATTCTCTGCTAAACGCAAAAAACCAATTTCTAGAATTTGCTTAAGAATTTTTAAAATAAAAAATAGCTCCAATTTTTATTTAATTAGTGGGAGTACTAAAAATGATTAGATTTTTATGAAAACAGTCCAATTTAATGAATATTTTTAATTATCCTAAACTACAACCAAAACCTAACAGAATCATTTTTTGGAGTGAGCTAATCAATTAAACATTCTTAAATATGTCATGGTATATTATTCAAATAATATAATTTTTATATTAAAAACTAGTCATACTATTAATAATATTCTCAATTAAATGTTTCTAATCTTTCCTTGTATGAATACTCTTTAGTACCAACTTTTTCAAATGTTTAAAATTAATTCACATTTAGGCTGGGTGCGTGGTTCATGACTGTAATCCTAGCACTCTGGGAGGCTGAGGTGGGCAGATTGCTCGAGCTCAGGAGTTTGAAACAAGCCTGAGCAAGACCCCATCGTCTCTATTATAAATGGAAAGAAATTAATTGGCCAACTGATATATATATAAAAAAATTAGCCGGGCATGGTGGCGCATGCCTGTAGTCCCAGGTACTTAGGAGGCTGAGGCAGGAAGATCCTTGAGCCAGGATTTGAGTTGCTGTGAGCTAGGCTGACGCCATGGCACTCAATCTAGCTTTGGGCAACAAAGTGAGACTCTGTCTCAAATAAATAAATAATTAATTCACATTAATATCTTTAAAAAAAACATACAAATTACTCTTAAAGTGGCCAAAATGATTCATACTTAGCTTCTTTTTGGCACTGCATATATCCTTCTTCAAAGAATTAGTGATATTTTGTTACCCAAGAAGAAGAAAAAAATACAAGTTTTCCATTACCTTGCAATTTAAAAAAAACAGGTCTACAGTTATGTAAGAAATAAAACACAGGAGAATATTTTTATCTTCATGAATGAAAATTCTTCAGTTTACTATCTGTAAATACTTTTGGTCTCCTAGTTTTTTTTTTTTTTTTTTTTTTGAGACAGAGTCTCGCTTTGTTGCCCAGGCTAGTGTGAGTGCTGGCGTCAGCCTAGCTCACAGCAACCTAAACTCCTGGCTCGAGCGATCCTTCTGTCTCAGCCTCCCGAGTAGCTGGGACTACAGGCATGCGCACATGCCGGCTAATTTTTTATATATATATCAGTTGGCCAATTAGTTTCTTCTATTATAGTAAGACGGGGTCTCGCTCTTGCTCAGGCTGGTTTCGAACTCCTGACCTTAAGCAATCCGCCCGCCTTGGCCTCCAGAGAGCTAGGATTGCAGGCGTGAGCCACCGCGCCGGCCTACGGTCTTCCTAGTTTTAAAAGGAACTTTAAACTTTCACTCATTAACATTCCAAGTATACCTATGAAAGTTTCAGCATGGAAAAGACAAAGTGGATCTTCACTAAGATGGAAGTTAGGCACCCTCCTTTCAAAAACTCACCAGCATCCTCTTCTCTGCTAGCTGCCGACACACAGTAGCCACATCTTTAACGTGGGTGGGGAACCTCTGCTGCCAGTGGGTCCATGTTCGCTGACTTGTTGCTAAACTGCACTTTATCAAACATAACAGTCACAGCACTTTCTTCAAGCTTCTCAACTTCCCCATACAGAATAGGAATCCTCAGAACAGCAGCTCCTAGAGATGAATAACAGCCAGATTCTATTTCAATGCTGATTAGTATTTTTTCATGTAAGATGACAGTGTGTAAATCTAAACATTAGGTAGAAACTTTTAATAAAAATACACCAAAATGACATAGCTCACTTGTAACAATAAAAAATCAAATTTAAATGTCTTCTGTAATTTGGAATACTTTTAGATATAACTTCTAATTATTCTTGATCATTTAAATAAATAAAAAAAATAAAACCTCTCATGACAGCTAAATGCAATGAATAAGCCTTGATTGCCAGATTAAAAAATAAAAGCAATAAAGGATATTTGGGGAACAACTGGAAAAATTCCTATATAGAATTTAATTATAGTACTATATTAATATTAAATTTCCTGAGTGTGATAACTGCATTGTAATGGTAAAGAACATCCTTGTTGTTAGAAGATACACGGTGAAGTATTTTAGGATAAAATTCAACTAATTATCAATGGGTCTGACCAAAGCAAAACAAATGGGACAAAACATTAATAACTGGTGAATCTATCTGAAGTGAAGGGTGAATGCTCACAGTATTCTTACAACCAATGATTAAGAAATTGTTTTCCTCTCACGCCTGTAATTCTAGTACTCTGGGAGGCTGAGGTGGGCAGATTGCTCGAGCTCAGGAGTTCAAAACCAGCCTGAGCGAGACCCCGTCATCTCTACTATAAATAGAAAGAAATTAACTGGCCAACTAAAATATATAGATAAAATGAGCCGGGCATGGTGGCGCATGCCTGTAGTCCCAGCTACTCGGGAGGCTGAGGCAGGAGGATTGCTTGAGCCCAGGAGACTGAGGTTGCTGTGAGCTAGGCTGACACCAGGGCACTCACTCTAGCTTGGGCAACAAAGTGAGACTCTGTCTCAAGAAAAAAAAAAAAAAAAAAAAAGAAATTGTTTTCTTTTTAAAAATCTAAGGTCTTGCTTAGGCTGGAATGCAGTGGCACAATCAGCTCACTGTGGCCTCAAAATATTGCGCTCAAGGGATCCTCCCACTCTAGCCTCTCCAGCAGCTGGGATTACAGACATGTGTCACAATACCCAGCTAATTTTTTGTAGAGATGGGGGTCTCACCATATTGCCCAGGCTGGTCTCAAATCCCTAGCTTCAAGCAATACTCCTCAGCCTCCCAAAGTGCTGGGATTATAGGCATGAGCCACCCATGCCCAGTCTGATTAAGGAATTTTGAGATATTTAGATATATTAGTCCCTGCTGAGGGGATAACAAAAGTCTTTGCATAATTAACACTTTAACTGAATGTTTATTGGACAAGTGAACATAAAATACTGCTATGGTTTCAATGTTTTTGTCCCCTCCAAAAATTCATGTTGAAAATCATCAATGCGACAGTGTTGGGAGGTGAGGCCTTTTGGGAAATATTTAGGTTATAAGGGCTCTCTCTGCCCTCATGAATGGATAGATTAACGCCATCATAAAAGGGCTTGTGGGAGAGAGCTATTCCCTTTTTCCTCATCTGCCATGTGAGGACACAGAGTTCTCCCCTCTGGAAGACACAGCAAGACCCTTCACCAGATGCTGGCACCTTGACCTTGGACTTCCCAGCCTCCAGAACTATGAGAAATAAATTTCTATTTTTTATAAATTACCCAGTCTGTGATATTCTATTATAGCAGTACAAAAACAAGAATGTATTCAAGGATGATTTCTGCAGAATAATCTGTAATACAAGAAAACTGAAAAACTAAATGTCCATTAGTGAGGTATTCTATACTAGTAGCTGCTTCTCAAAGACACAGTATAGTCCAAGACAGTAGTTTTAGTGCAGGGGAAGCATTAAACAAAATACTATACAGCTATTGATATGAATAAGATATCCCAGAGATGGTTCCACATGTACTAAAATGCAAAGACTGGGGGTGGGGGAATCAGATTATGAAACAACAAGCATACCTTTTTTTAAATACACAAAACATGCTTTTATATATAACCACATTTTGTGCTTATATCCCTGAGAGCTTTCATTCTTTGTAATTTAAAAATCTCTTTTTTCAAGGAGTGTATAGTTTTTAATATATGTATATAAAAACATACATATAGAAAAAAAGATAAAACCCATATATATAACAGAATACCTCAATCTAAAAGATATTACCCTGTTTTTTGAAAATGAATTATAAAAATTTATACTGTATGAATTGTTTTCCATGTATAAAGATGTATATGTATATACTGGCAATATAATTTAAAAAAAACACTGCATATATATAAAAATCAAACAAAAAGGAGGCCTCAAATACAACTGGGGGTAAAGAGGTTATGTCTTACCTGAGTTGTTCTCCAAGACAGCCTTTTCTCCTTCTAATTTTGTTTTGCCATATAAGTTTAGGGGACTTGGTATGTCTTCCTCTCCATAAGGTGGATCTGTTCCATCAAATACATAATCTGAGCTAATATAGATAAGAAATGCTCCAATTGCAGCTACCAAAAAAAAAAAAAAAAGATGAATCTATTAAATTTTTACATGACATTATTCTTTAGTGGAATTCAGAATGGATTGTTCATGATATATAAAAGCAAATCACTTACAACTGATATACAATTTTTTAATCTTTAAAAACTCATTCATAAAATATTAATTAAGATTTTATAAAGTCATCATTACCTGCTTCTTTTGCTAAATTCCCAGAAGCATCCACATTAAGTTGAGAAGCAGCATCTGGCTGATTTTCTACAACATCTGGTCTTCTCTCTGCTGCACAATGTACTATGACATGGGGCTAGAAGTTAAGCATTGATATGTTTTCAGTCCAAAATGGAATAAAACAAGAATTATAGCCTTCTTTAGGGTAAGTTAATTCAGAGAAAAATGTGTATTAAATCAATATTCCTTAAACAAAGAATAATTTTTTTTTTTTTTTGAGACAGTCTCTCACTTTGTTGCTCAGGTTAGAGTGAGTGCTGTGGTGTCAGCCTAGCTCACAGCAACCTCAATCTCCTGGGCTCAAGTGATCCTACTGCCTCAGCCTCCCAAATAGCTGGGACTACAGGCATGCGCCACCATGCCCGGCTAATTTTTTCTATATATATGTTTTTAGTTGGTCAATTAGTTTCTATTTTTGGTAGAGGTGGGGTCTCGCTCTTGCTCAGGCTGTTTTTGAACTCCTGACCTTGAGCACTCCACCCACCTCAGCCTCCCAGAGTGCTAGGATTACAGGTGTGAGCCACCGCACCCCGCCTATAATTTTTAAATGTAGTTTTATCATGCCTTTTTCCCCCCAAAGTTCAAACTTCCTTAAAGTATATATAGACACTGAAAAGGAAATAGTAATTTAGTAATCCCTAGACAAAACCAGAAAAGAACTGTGTCAATAACTGTATTTCTAAATGAAAACAAGCTTCGTGCCCCAATTTGGATCAGAAAAAAGAGCTATCATTTATATAATATGAACTAATATATATTTCATAAATCTATATCAAAGTGAGAGTAATAGGCTGGGTACAGTGGCTCACACCTGTAATCCTAGCGCTCTGGGAGGCCGAGGTGGGTGGATCGCTTAAGGTTCTGGAGTTCAAGACCTGCCTGAGCAAGAGTGAAACCCTGTCTCTACTAAAAATAGAAAGAAATTAATTGGCCAACTAAAAATATACAGAAAAAAAAAAAAATCAGCCAGGCATGGTGGCACATGCCTGTAGTCCCAGCTACTCAGGAGGCTGTGAGCTAGGCTGACGCCACAGCACTCTAGCCTAGGCAACAGAGAGAGACTCTGTCTCAAAAAAAGAGTGAGTAATAATTGCAAATTCATACACTGAAATCTCTTTGACCACTCACAAAGAAAATCAACAATCCACAAAAATTATATTCTAAATTGAGCATTTAAATGGCATCTAGGGCAGACACTGTAGAAGGAACAAGGATTTCATAATCTAGTGGAAAAGACAAGCACCTGGTTCCCAGAGGAGACAAGTCAGAGCTAAGATTTGGGAAGACCACTAATTTGAATTGGATTTCTGTTACTTGCACTTTGAAGACTCCTAAATAATATAAAGATTTTAAAAGCTCTAAGATAAAGCCCACTACTGGGTATTTACCCAGAGGGAAAGAAGTCATTTTATCAAGACGACACCTGCACTCAAAGTGTATACTGCAGCATAATTCGCAATTGCAAAGATGTAGAATCAACCCAAGTGCCTATCAATTCATGAATGGATTAACAAAATGTGGTATATTTATACCATGGGATGCTACTCAATCATAAGAAAGGACGAATTAAGGCCTTTTGCAACAATTTGGATGGAACTAGAGACCATTATTATCCTAAGTATCTAAAGAATGAAAAAACAAATACCACATGTACTTACTGTTAAATTAGAACTAACTGATATGTACACATGTGCACAGAGGGAAGTAAAACTCAGTGGAAATGAAGCAGGTAGGAGGGAGGAGGAGGGGATGGGTGAAACTACCTAACAGGTACAGTGAACACTATCTGGGTGACGGGCACACTTATAACCCTGACTCAAGCATAACAAAATTGATCTATGTAACCAAAAACATTTGTACCCTCCAGAATATTTTGAAATAAAAAAAGAAAAACACCTGAAGGATATATACCAAAATGCTTTTTTTTTTTATATAAAACATAAGTTTTATAAAATGCTTCATATTTCTGTTTTTGTCAACTTGTGTCTCAACCTAATCTTTTTAAGGATTACATATACCTTGGTATGCTTAAAAAAAAAAATCCAACACTATTCTGTTGGTGCATAACAGGTTAGAGCTTTCAAGTATAGTAATTTCCTTGAGAGCAAAGACATTTTCTATGTCATCAGACAGTTCTTAATACAGCTCATATATGTTAAAATATACTAAACCATACCTGAAAATCATGAATGATGTGATGAACTGCATTAGAATCCAAAAGATTAACCTGTTCAAATTTTGGTCTTGCTCTTCTGAAACCACAGCCAACAGCATGCCAATTATTCTGCTGAAATTCTTTGAATACAGCTCTGCCAAGAAGCCCAGTGGCACCAGTAACCAGAACCCGCCTATTGGGGATATTAACTTCCTCCTAAAATGTGAAGGGGAGAAAAGGGATTATTTACTTTGAAAATCATTCTCTCAAAGAAATTAGTCACCATCATTGTTCAATAATATCTCAAGTACTTTGATTCATGTCTCATATCTATCTACAAGCCAAGTGCAAAGTTAGAACAAAGATTAATCAAACTATTACTATATCAACAACTATATCACTTAAGTTTTAATAATCTTATCCAAGAACATAAGATAATGCTGCAAAAAAATTACCTAGTTAGATTTACATTTCCCAATAAAAGAAAATCTTATTTGTATCATTGATGATGCCCAAATGAGTAATAAAGATTATATATACCTTGAATTTAATTAAAGCAACTTTAGTTATATTCTTTAGTTTATAAAAGTGTACAATTTGTTTTGTTCCTACACAGATGACCAAAGGTGCTCTCTGAGTCTCTGGAGAGAACTGTTTTAAGTTTACTTGTTTTATCGCCGACTGAGCATTTGGTTCTATCTGCCTATATAGTTACAAGTTGACATTTCTGGTCTTCAGTTTTTAATCTCAAATTTTCTTTCAAATCTCAATAATTTATCATATTTTGATAAGTTTGAGTTAGAGAATTAGTCAACATTTCAGAGGTATTTATGAGTTGGAAAATAAATTTGGTTTTTTCGACACTAATGTTTTCTCAGCTTAATAAAATTGCTAAATGTTCCTGAGTTAACTCTAAATTTACCTATATAAATTAAAATAAACAGAGGATAAGAAAAAATATTTTAAACGGATCTGTTTCTATTATAAAAAAGAAAACATTCCTTATACACAGAAATGAAAAAGAACCACTATTTAGGGAAGAACTTAAATGCTATGTTTCCAAGGCATACTTTCAAAATTTTCTCTTCTTCCCCAAATGGGCAATACTAATTTTCTTCTTAGACTCTTAAGACTTTTTTTTTGAAGTTAAATTTTAATCAACTTGAGGCCTCTTTATGTCAAGTTGTTACAGTCACCTAATTCTGAGCTGTCTAAAACCTTAAATATATGTGCAATAACCGCAGACTACAAAATTTTTTAAAAAGACATCAAAATTAGGTATTGCTAGCACATGTAAAACTTAAAATGAAAAGGCTAACAGAGAAAGACAATATAATAGGTAAATTCTTACGGATTATTTTTTTTGCTTGACCAATTTCAAGATATTTTAAAAGTTAAAAGAAATTTCAATTTTCATGCAGGTAACATCATTCTATAGTGTATTTCCTCAAATAAACATAGTATATATTCATTATTTAAAAAAAGAAAGAAATTTAATTCAGGCTCTCTGTAGCAAAACTTGGCTCTAAGCCAATTAATCTATGAAAACGATGATTTCAACCAGCAAAATATTTTCTTTGAATTTTGGCAAGAAAACAACTCTAGAAAGACTGAACTGCAAAGAGGGAAAAACATGCCAAGTCTAGTAGAGATACAATCAGAAAACAATTCACACAGGATAAATACCACAAAGATTCCTGGGAAAATACTATAAAAGACGTATGATTTGGTTTCTTCCAAACTTCTCAGTTTTTACTTCACTCTATAGAAGCAAACAAACAGGTAACAGTTCTTAGGTCTGCGGTTCTCAGGGTTCAGTGTGGATCAAAATCCCTTAGAGGGCTTTCAGAGTCAGTAAGTCTGGGCTGGGATCTGCTAACTTTTATTCCTAACAAGTTCTCAGGCGATGCTGATTACGGTAATTTGGAGACTGCAGTTTGAAAAGCCCTGTAATCTTAAACTCCAGGAACATTCAAGGCTTTCATAAAGGTCCTTATCTCTAATTCAAACAAACCAAAAAAGTGCCACCTACCTTTCTAGAAGAAATAACTGTATTTTTTTTTTTTTTTTGAGACAGAGTCTCCCTCTGTTGTGTAGCCCAGGCTGGAGTACAGTGGCCTCATTGTAGCTCACTGCAACCTTGAACTCCTTGTCTCAAATGATCTTCCCACCTTAGCCTCCCCAGTAGCTAGAACTAGGCATGCACCATGACACTCACTATTTTTGTTTTTTATAGAGATAGGGTCTCACTACATTGCCCAGGGTGTTCTCGAACTCCACTTAAATGATCCTCCCACCTCAGCCTCCCCAAATGCTAGGATTACAGGCCTGAGCCACTACACCTGGCCACAGTAGTATCTTTCCTTCTTAAAATATTAAAATCTCTGCATATTTTCATTCTGTGAAGCACACTTTTCCCTCATTTTAACATTTGTTGCATGAATGAAAAAGATATGCATCTTATTAATGTGTCATAGCTTGGCAGTACTTTTTGTTATCTTGATTGCATCTTAAAATAAGAGCCCACATGATCTTATAATCAAGAGCACCCTAGAGAAGATAAAATACAGTACTAAGTTTAAAGGTGAACAAAGCTCTTGAGGGAATATAATACACTTAAAAAAAGAATTGAGGTTGCATGGAGAAAATGCAACTTTATCTTTATACCCTGGAATACTATTTAAGGCCCCTAGATACCCACATGGATTAGTGGGAAAAAAAAAAAAAAAAAAAAAAAGAAAAAAGGCCCCTAGAAGAAAATATGAAACTCTACACAGTACTTAGTGGTCAGATGTAAATACTAAAGAATCTTCATTAGATGAGTGGGGAACCTCCTAGTTGAAAACTATTATGTTATACATACATAATTCATACATCTTTTAACCATAAGAACAGCCTTATTAGGGAAGACATTATTCCCAAAGTGAGGAATCTGAAGTCTAGAGATGTCAATTTTGTCCATAGTAAAAGGGAAATAGCTGGGATCAGAACTTGAGTCTTCTTGCTTAAGTGGTCAAGCCAAATTCATTGGATTTTGTCTCAATTCTCTGAACTTAACATTTTGTTTCATGAATGATTAAAGTTTTATACACTGCCACAAACCGTGGTATTGAGAATTATTACATCTCTATTGATCTAACTCATCATTGGTAAAAATGAGGTATCTGGACAAGATGACTAAGGTGCCTTCAACTTCAAAGTTCCATATTTCTAATATTTTCCATATTATACTTACCACAAAGAGTCTAAATACAGAGTGAGCTTCGTTTACTTAAATAAGGTAACTTTTCGCTTGAATATGCATCACTCAAATTAAAAGATGCCAATTTTTGAGTTTTTATATGAATAGTACTCTACCTGAAGCTTTTTAAAGTGTACACTGTTTTGTTAGATTTTGTTTGTTGGGGAAAAGAAGTATTCCTCTAAAAATTACCTTGGACTTTTTGGCTCCATAAATTATTTCTAAACCCTTCAAGGAACTCAGAATGAAAGAATACAACGCTGTCTAGTTCACCAAACCACAATAAAGACTTGAAAATATTTTGTCTGTCTGAAAAGTCTACTTTCTCAATTTTTATTATAAGTTAATCAAGTATCAACTTAAGCTACTCTACACACATCTCTGCCTCTTATTGTATAAACTCTTAGATGTATGGAATTCAACCACTTCAGGTGATCAGATTTACAGACACCAAAAAAGTCTTGAAAAATTAAATACATACAAATGTATATCTACATTTATTGTTTTTAATTATGCTATCTAATCAAATGATACCAAATTATACAGGTAATGGGAGATAAATGGCTCTTTGCAAATTACCTAACACAGTACTCTGGGACAGTGATTTCTATTTTATTAACTTCTATTAAAAATGAACTAGAAAAGAATGAAATATCACTAATAGAGATCATCTTAAATTTTAGTGATAAATATGCCTTTTATTCTTAGAAACTTTTAAATTTGCCAAAGTTCCACACTTATTTTTTAATTCCCCCTGAGGTAGATCTTTGAGCAGACACTCCTGGACTTTAATGAAAAACTTCCTAAGGTCCCCTGACTATTATTTACATGGCACTGGTCTAAGTCTTACTGTCACCCTAAGGTACCCTACAGACAGTATTAACAGGAACCACTATAGGCTGCTTCTCTAACATTAACTATAAGACAGTTCTCATTCTCACGAATGAGTTTTAATTCTACAGGTTGACAGAGCAACAAGTATGTTGCCAAACTCTTAGCTGTTCCATTTTTAATGAAACAAAACGTGAAAAGCCATTTTCATTTCTTTACTGAACCCCTGTGAAAATAGATTAACCTTTATACATATACAGATATTCACAAACAATACGTAAATGTACTCAGCATTGTTTGGGGGCACACAGAACAACACAGAGATTTAACTAGACCCTGAAAGACCCAAAGTGATCTGAAAACACTAAATACATTTTGGAAGCATAAAAACTTTGCATTATCAAAACCAGCCATTTATGTTATTTCACCATTATAAAATAAAATAAAAAATACCAGCCATCTCCTATATGTCTTATCTCCATAGAATATTAGTCAAGGCACTAACAATTTTATCCCCAACGCTGGATATATAATATTTTGTGAATGGATGACCGCTGGGACCCTTGGAATGGAGGAGAGGATGAGGGGGATAACAGAAATAGTCTTCCTTCATGCAAACTTCATAGTGGTTCAAAGCCTGAGAAACAGATTTATAATTGAATCCCTGCACCAATTTTACTGAACGAAGTTGGGCCAATTTCTCTCCCTCTATACCTTAGCTTTCGGATCTGTAAAATGAGGCAGTATCTCATAGTTACGATTAAAGTTATGCCTGTGAAGCGCACAACACTGTCCCTTGCACAAGCTAAGAGTGTTCATTAACTTGTCATCTCCAATACTGTTATTTCTGAAAAGCCCTTTCCTCCTCCCCTTCTCAAAGCTACGAACTTGTAAGACCGAAGAATACGATACAAAGATGAAAAAACGAAGAAAGAAAACAGAAACTACTCTGAAAGAGCCCTCTGTCCCCAGCAGCTGAGACAGAGAACTCAACAGTAAAACCTCCAGCTACTTGCTTTTGCTTCCGGCCGCAGTGGCTGGAAAAGAAACTACAGACGGGTGTGCGCCGAGATAAACAAACTCCGTGGCACCGCCCTGGGCTCCGAAGCTGGGGAGGCGGCGCTCGGACGATTCCCTGCCCGAGGCTCCGACTCTGGCGGGATGCTCCCGGAAAGCCTCTCCCTCTATCCCCGCGGACGTGTTTGGTCCCCCCAGCGCCCCATATTCCCACCAGAAACCCTCCCCGCAAGCCGACTCCCTCACCTCCACTAGCCGGCAGCTTCCGGGAACAAAGTGGATGGAGAGCTCTTTCTGCCGCCCCACCATGCCCGCCGTCTCCGCGACGCCGCCAGAGCGGCCGCAAGCACAAACGCCACGGCCTCTGCTCAATCGGTGCCCGCCTCTTCTAGGCCTAAGTCGACCCCGCACCCTGCTTCCGCCGCCATGGCCGCACCGTTGATTGGCCACGCTCCGCCGACGCCCCAGGAAGGAGGCGGGCGCACGCGGGACGTTCCCAGCCCACGCGCCAACTCTTAAAGTGGTACGCAAAACCAAGGCCCTGACCTGAAGCGATGAATTCAAATTTGGTTTTGGAGATTTTGTTTATCTGTGTGTTTTTTCCTTCTGCTTTTTTTTTCTCTTTAACCGAGGAGGGATTGAATTGGATCGCCTAGAGTTTCAAGTTTGCAGACTGCACAGTGCATCATAAGAATCAGCTGGGCATGTAATAGATAAAATAGAATAAAACATTTTAAAGTCGTGGGAGGTGAGGGGGAGGAAGGAGCGCAGAGAACGTATCTCTAGAGCATTAGGTGTGGGTTCTGAAAGATTTAGAAAAAGACAGGGAACAAAAAGAAGTGCTGGCAGCTGAGCCATTTGTCTTTCTGGGATGTTAAAAAATAGGATGTGTGAAATTTTAAAAATGTTAAACTATTTTTAACTAAAAAGGCGTGGGGGAGAGGAAGATGAATTATTTGGGTACTTCTTCAAAACACAGGTTCTTTTGACTTTACCCATAATAACAGAATGAGAAACTGGTGGGAAAGCCCTGGAACTCTAATTCTTAATTAGTGGAGTAAACAAGGGTCAGGACCACTCTTGGAGAAGCTCCTCTTGGAGAAGCTCCACCATGGGGGCTGTAGTTTTGAGCTGTGTGTGCCCAGACTTGATAAGAACCGAAATTTAAAAAAACCAACCAGAGTGTAATGCTGGGCTTTCTACCACCTGAAATGCCTTTAAAAAGTAAATCAGAAACAAGCGCCCTAAGTGTTGAGGCTCACCTGGCACCCAACCGATTTTCCTTCCACTTTAAAACCGCAGAGTCCTCCAGGCAGAACAGGACGCCTGGGGAAATTTACCCAGAAGATAACCCCAGCACAGACCGTGGAGGAGTCGCCTTTCCAGACACCCAAGATATCAAGCTCTAAACGTCACCAGCAAACGTGACCACTGCTTGGATTTTCGTAAGGCCTTATTTTCACAACCCCCTTTTTAGTTTAATTTAGAGCTAAAGGCCAAGCAGCCTTTTAAATAAGTTTTTCTAGGTCAGAGGCGCTTGATTTTCCTTCCTCCCCAACCCCCAACAAAACTCATTTCCTTATTCATGTAAATAAAGTTTCTTAGGAACAGTAACTGCCCGAAGTCGCTCACTTTTCGATTTTGTTGTTTTTTTTGTTTGAATCCAGGCTGTTCACTGGCCTAGCGTTACTTAGGGAATTCTTGGATGGGACTGCCCCAGATCTGAACAAGAGTAATCTGGGGACAACAAAGAAAGGGTGGGGGGAGGGGCCAGATCCAAGATCTTCTCGGTGTGTCTCCCTTAAAAACTAGGAATTTTTGTTTAAAGTTTCTCCTTGCAAGGTGTGATGTAATCTAATCCTGGGGGGTGGGAGAGGACGGGCGGGTAAGTGTTCAAGGTGAAGAAGATTTAAGTACCGGCATATGCAATTAGCATTTTGATTCTCAGAGCAGCCTTACAAAAAGTTTAACTTGACTACATTTGAGAATCTGATTTGATACTTGCCCTGTGAAAGCTGGGTATAGGTGTAGGGGCAGATGTTTAAATATGGTTTTTAATCGTTTTGATCTTTAATGATGATAGTCTATGTGAATCAAACGCCATCCTTATACAGACAATACCCAACTTCGTGCGGTGGCTAAGTCTATAAATTCAAAGAGCAGCAACTAAAAAGTTATGTTACAAGATTTAATGCATACAAAGTCTGGAACACACGAGAGAGAAATTCCGTATTTATATAGAACCTTAGCACACATCACTACATTTAATCCGGTAAATGAAACTGCTGTTCTGTTTAGCATTTTATTTTTGCCAGTTAATGAGACTGAGCTCTCCATAACCTGGTTTCCTGGGTCAATAACTAAAGTTGGTTTATTCGTCTATGTCCCTAGGGTTTGTTTTAAGGAAATGAATGACACTCGTTTCTATTTTCTTTATACGCCCACTCTGCTTTTACCAGGCGTTCACTGGAATGCTTTAAAAGCAACTCTTACTCTACAATGCTTCATTTCTTGAATTGTTAAGCTCTTACCTGTTCCATGTCCTCCGGCATTTCAGGCATGATTCCAAAATTATTTCAGGAACACAGATACGGGACGGGTCTCAGCCTCTACCTTCTCTTGCCGGGTCTTTGTTTGCTTCTGCCTGCAGGGAGCGCAGGCACGCCAAAACGTGAGGCGCAGCTTCCCTTGACCTTTTAAATTAGCATTTTGATTCCAATCCCGGAATCTCGTGCAGTTTTCCACATGGCAGTAAACTGGCAGCTGATTCCCTGTAGTAGTCTCGAAAATACCCAATGAGAAGTTTCATGTTTAATTGCCATCTAAACCAGGGTACATTAGCAAAACCATTTGGTAGAATGAACTAAAAACAAAAAACAGCCCAACAACTTCCTGTCAAGACTTGTTGCAATTTTTTTTGCAGGAGAAAAGCACGCGGGTCATGCGATTGATTCCCGTCCTGAAGGGAACAGTTTTTATAATTTCATTCAGTTACGCCTTATTGCTAGTAAAATTCTCCAGTGTTCCCCTCTAGTGCTTTTTGGTTTTTTTTCCTTTTATTATTGTTGTTGTTATTATTTTTACTGGAAATTCCCTTGTCTTCTAACTTCTCCGTCGCTCACCCCCCACTGCCCCCTGCAAGTGCTTTTTAATTATTACGAAGGGCAGTAAAAGGCATTGTGGTAGCAGCACACAGAAATTAAAATGCAACAGGTCATTTTCATCAACATTGTCCCCACCCCCCCTTCTGACTGGGAGAATGGTAGGTAGAGTAGCCTTCAAGGGTTAAGGACTTCTAGGTGAGTGAAGCCTGCATGCACCACAGAATATACAGAATGAAATTATTTTCTAGGAGTGAAGCCCAGTAATATTTTTAACAGTTTCAGGAGTGATGAATGTGCTCAGTTAAGCTTTGAACACCTACCAATTTAAGAACAACAAAAATTGCCATTCAAATCGAGCCATTCTCAGTGGTAAGAAAGAATAAAATAATATTTTTGGAGCAACTTGGGTGCAAATGGAGGCCTTTTTTTTTTTTTTTTTCACTCTGTTGCCAGGGCTAGAGTGCCTCGCGTCAGCCTAGCTCACAGCAACCTAAAACTCCTGGGCTCAAGTGATCCTCCTGCCTCAGTCTCCCAATTAGCTGGGACTACAGCCACTCACCACCACCACCGGCTCATTTTTTGTTTCTATTTTTAGTTGCCCAGCTAATTTTTTCTATTTTTAGTAGAGATGGGGGTCTTACTGTTGGTCAGGCTGGTCTCAAACTCCTGTCCTCAAGCGATCCTCGGCTCCCAGAGTGCTAGGATTACAGGCCTACACCACTTTTCCCAGCCTGGAGGCCATTATGCCATTATTGTTGGGGTGGTGAGCTAGTGTAGAGCTGCTGATGCACTCAGGTTTGAGAAAAGTTTCTCCACAGATTAGGGTAAAAGGAAGAAGTTTATTTTACTTTCCCAAAAGTGGGAAAGGGTCAAACACGGGAAAGAAAATGGAAAAGAGTGTTGGCCTAGAAAACTGGCTACTTAGACCTTTTATTTAGAAATGTAAAAAAAGGATGAAAGATGATATATGGTTGTAGTCAACTGGGTGTTGTGAATTGCCATATCTGCTCCTTCTGTCCTTCCTAACTGCAAGCAGATAATAGAATGGCTGTGTGAGGCTGAGACTGATGTCGTGTCTTCTTTGCTGTCCCGGCCCGCGGGACCTTCTGTTACTCGTGGGGTCAAGGGGGACCTTGCCTGAAAGAGATGGGTGAGAGAAAGGAACGAGACCAAGCAAAGGGTTGTCAAGGTCTGCTTTACTAGGTTTTTCGTTGGTTTTATAAGCATACAGAAACAATGAAGTAGGGAGGGGCAGGGGGGGTTAGGGTTGATCAATTACAAACAGCCTCAGGCAGCAAGCCTGGAATATCTTGCAGTTTTTTCCTGGAATGGTTGTTAAGCACTTTTTGGCAACTCAGGGTATTTTCTGCTCAGGGTATTTCCGGGTTAAGAACTTCAAAGGCCTCGGTTCCCAACACTTTGCCAGTGGAAGAGGCTTTCCCACTCCCAGTGACAGTGCCCTCCAATCCTGTCTGGGAAGATTAAGGCTGTATTACCTGAGGAAATAGTAAAATGGCCTCCCCTGAGGCAGTTGCCATGTCTCCTTCCTGCAACCGTGCAAGACAATGCTGATTCTCCTCAGGACCCACCCACCACCTCTTTGCTTCAAGCCCTATAACTAGACACAAGTCTCAGCAGGCCCCTAAGGGTGAGGAAAAAACTGTTAGCCATGAAGAGATATGCTATATGCTATACTCCAAAAGAATTACAGAAATCTGGGAACATGTGTGGGGATGTACACTAAAGGTGTGGGATAATAATGGAAGAAACAAAGTTGGATCAGGCCAAATTCATTGATATGGGCTCACTAAGCAGAGATTCTTTATATAATGTTGCAGTTTGGGGAGTTAGAAAGGGCACTCACAGTTTCGTTGGTTGACTGAAACATGGAAAAGATGGCCTCCATTGAGTGAACTGGAAATGTTGGGCTTGCCTTGGTTTAATGGAGAGGATAGGATTAAAATACTAGAATGTGAGAGTGGACTTGTCACTTAAGAATTACTCACCCACACTGGGAAGGTGGAAAAGGCATACCTTCTGAGAAAAAAAATTGTGAGGAGAGCCCCAGGATCCTTTTCTGAGCTCTGTGATTGTTCTTTGAAGGCCAGAACTTACAGTAGGATTTGCAGTCCTTGAAGTAGGAAACCTAAATGCAATGGAAGCAATGAATCCCAGGGTAGCAGGGGCCATAGGATGGGACTCAACTGCCAAAGGCAAGGTGGCATGGTTATTGTAATGAATGGCAGAGCCAAAAGAGCCATCAGAATAGTCTACCTGCACAGACCTATTGCTTTGGCTAGTTCATGGTTTTTCTAGAAGTGAAAGAGATATGAAGCCTACTAAATTCT